GTCCTCACTCCTCGCGTTTTGCCCGCTGAGGAATGCGGCCGGACACGATTCTGCTTTTCCAGAACCGCCGTATTTCCCTGCGAAACTCCGCAGGTGCGATGCCTGCAGGGGACTTGGAGCTTTCCCACTAGATGGAGCCCGGGAGAAAACAGAAACCTCACCGGCAGTGCGCAGGGAAAGCGAGAGAAATTCCTACCTCCTGGAACGGGCTGCAGGGCTGCATGGGAGACAAAGCATGGGAAGCCGCGCGTGGGGCATCCCCCTCCTGGGTGCAAATAAAGGAGGACATGTCCCACGTGTTCTCCATGGAAAAGCAGGGCGGACCGAGTCCGCGGGAGCTGGCCAACCCTTCTTGCCCAGCAACCTTCGGAGATGCTGACCCCACCGGCAGCAGGCAGATGCTTGCCACTCCCTGCGTGTGGAGGGTTAGCACAAAAGGAGAAGAGCAACTGGGCTACTTATTGCTGTGCCTTTTACTTCTCAGAAGCATTTGCAGCTCAGCTGTGAGCTCCTCAGGACCACAAACACGAGCCAGGCTGACACAGAGATGGGCATGCTGCAGGGTCAGGTCCTGCACAGTACTGGGTCTCCTTTTGCACCCTGCTCTGGCTTTTGCAAACAGCTCCACCGTGCTCAGTGGGCTCAGCACCGGCACATAGCTGCTGCCAAGCACACGCCAGACCTGCTGCACCATGCACAGGCACCCACAACCCCTTTCCCACAGACACTGTCCCTGTTTGTGTGCCCAAGCCATGCAGCTACAGGCAGCCCCATAGCAAGGGGATCCCCAGGACAGCTCCCTGTTCTCAGGCACAACCTGCCCCACCAGCCCTGACAGGGAAGCACAGCACCCCAGGGACCCTGTGGTGTCAGCCGCAAGCACACAGCCTTTGAGCTCAGACATTTATTTGCTCTCTGCTGGAATACACACACTGCAAGGGCCACATCCTCCTGCCCTTCTGGCATCTGCCAGCATGGGGGCACTGCTTGCCACTCAGCAGCACCCTGGGGGACCACAAGTGCCACCAGGATGGCAGGCAGGGCCTGGGGCTGCCAGCTGCTCCAGCAGTTGGAAGGGATCACAGATCTTCTCCTGGAGGGCAGAGAAAAACCCAGGGCAGGATCAGGCCAGAGGGAAGCAAGAGGCAGTCTGTGAAAGTGGCATTTCCCCGACTCGCTCCCTGCCAGTGGGGCAGCCCAAGCAGACCCTCCACAGATAACACGGGGCAGCCTCCAGGTCACTCCAGCTGATTTTCCCTGCTGCGAGTAGTAAGCCAAGAGCTTCTCTGCGACTTTGGCTTTGCTTTTATCTGAGAAATGTCTCCTGCTTGGACAGAGACCCAAGAACATCTCCCTTCCCAAAGTACAAGGCTGTGTTTCAGGGACACACAGCTGCAAGGCATTATCTCCCTTGTCTCTCCTGGCCCATCTACATTCTGGAGGGACCATCAAGGAAAAGCAAGAGGCTTCCAGCAGACAGAGGTGCTTTGTGCTGCAGGGTCAGGGTCGGCAGGCAGGGCCAATCTGCTCTCCCATTAGCACCTGGGAGGGCGATGGGGAGGAAAGATTGGTGAGAATGGGCCGTCACCCTCCTGGGGCAGGCTTCCCCACAGAAAGGATATTTTCCCTTGGGAGACATCAGGGAAGTCCAACCGTCAACCTTGCCAGTCCCCATGGACATGTTGGGGGGGCAAGGGGCTCTCACACCTGGTGGTTAGAGGAGGCTACCCTTCAGAGGGGTCTAACTCATGCTGGGGTACAGTTTGATCAGACTCAGGCACCAGGCACCACCCTCAGTGCCTCACAGGCTCTGCTTGGCCCAGAAGGACTCGGGTGTCTTGGTATCATGCCATAGCTCTTCTGATACTCCAAGGCAACTCTGATGGCATGGGACACCCATGTCTCCATTCCTGAACCCAGCCATGGAGCTGCCTGCTACCAACCTTCACCCCCTTGTAGCAGCAGCCCTGTGGCTCTGCAGTGCTGGCCCCTCCGGCTCGGATCAGGAACTCCTCCGCAAACCTGGAGCTCCGCAAGATTGCAGCCATCTCAGCATCCACGTCCACCACGTCTCCTTCCTGGGGGCAGAGGAACAGTCACAGGGCTAGGGTCCAGCATATGTGGCCCAGGGGACCCCAGCCACCGGGCCAGATGATGGGGAGAGTGAAAGCAGTGGCACACTGTGGCCCAAAACCCGGTTTAACATCCACATCAACCAAGCAGCTGGCTTCAATCCTCCTGTGAAGCCACCATGGATGTCCTGCGTCTATCCTTACTGCAATGCAATGCATGGATCTGTCTCCCTTTCCTGCCTGTTTGCATTCCCTTGAGTTTATACAGGCCCTCTGCTCCCACTCACCTCCCCCTTTACCAAAGTTTGCCCCCCAAATCACACTGCTGAGTAGCACTGCTTCATCAGCTTTAACCCATTCCTACAGACCAGGTCTGCTTGGCATCCCAGGAAGTCCCAGCATGCCTCCCCGCACCTTGAAGGTGAAGTTGGCATCAAACACCAGCTCTCGCTCATGTCCCACGATCCCACCATTGTAGATGACCTGTCCTGGCCCGGCTCGGCTCCTCCTCGGCACCTTAAACAGGCGGAAAGTCGCAGAAACAAAGCGGCAGTCACCTGCAAGGGAGAGGATGATTGGTTGGGCACTGAACCAGCAGGGCCCAGGTTCCCAGCACAACCACCCGTGGCTGCCCAGAGCTGACACTCCCTCACCAACGATGCCCTCCAGCTCCTTGTTGCCAATGGTGATCGGGCTTGCGGTGACCAGACATGGGGTGCTGAACCCCACCTCCTCAGCAATGCTATACAGGTCTCTCCAGTACAGGGCTCCTGCCAGGCACTCCCCTGGCACAAGACCACAGACACAGATGATAGAGGCAAAGGTCCTGTTCCCCCATCCCATGTCACCCCCATCCTGGAGCCCTACGCACCCCACAGCACCCTGTGCTTCCGGACAGTCTCGCTCAGGCGCTGGCTGACATAGACATCACTGAAGTACATCTCTCCCCCAGGCTGGAAGGCAGCAAGGAGTGAAGGGAGTCCTCAGGAAGCAAAGGGATGAAGGGCACAGAGAATTGGGAACATGCTAATTCTACCCTGCTTGTGACCCTCTGCAGACTTGCCCTCCCCTGGCCCCATCCTGCATCCCTGTCTTGCTGGACACCATTTGCTGCTTCCCAGTGGCACCCCAAAAGCAAGGCCACCCCAGGCCTGCTCTGCTGCTGCAGACACTGGCCCCAGCATCACCTTCAGCACACGGAAGGCCTCCCGCAGCACAGTCCTCTTGTCAGGGGTGAGGTTGATCACACAGTTGGAGCTGGGGAGGAGGAGACCAAGGCTCATCTCACACACTTAGAACCACCGGCTGCTGCTCATCCACTGGCTGCTGCGTGTCCCTTTGCTTGACGCAGGATTTGGAAACACTGATTTGATCATGACAAGGGAAGTTTGTATATTCCCAGACTCTGCCTTGGGATTTCCCTTTTCCTAACGTGCTTCTGAAGCAGGTGACCCAGTTGGATACAGACCCAGACCGCAGCCCACAGACCCAGGAAGCAGCAGGACTGGGCTTGACAGTGCTCTGCACAGTACCTACATGACAATATCGTAGCTCTCATCAGCCAGCCCAGCATCGCTCAGCTTCTCTATGTAGCCATGGAGGAACTGCACATTCGGCTTTCGGTAGCCAAACTTATCCATGTGGTAGGCAATGTGCTTCTTTGCCACCTCAACCTGGCAGGAGGAAGGGCACAGCGGTGGGAGCTGCTGGGAGGATGAGGGGAAGCCCCAGCTCCATGGCCATACCTGGCCCTCAGTCATATCTATCCCAGTGACATGGCCCTGCTCCCCAACCAGCTGGCTCAGCACGTAGCAGTCTCTGCCGCTGCCACTGCCCAGGTCCAGGATCCGGCACGAAGTCAGGCACTCAGGGATCACCAGACCACAGCCGTAGTACCTGCGCCGATGCTCAGCTGAGCTGGGCAGAGATGCCCCTGTGACATGGTCATCCAGGGGGCTGCAGCCCATGGGGACAGAGCAGTGGAGCAGAAACCCCAGGGTTTACCTGGCCACCACCTCCTCATGGACACATTCCAAAGCATCTCTCACCACCCTGGGAAGGGGCCTGGCCGAGGTGATGCACGCATTGGTTTTGAGATCCTCTGACTTCTGCAGCTCTTTTCCATAGTAATTCTGAGACAGAAAAGACAGAGGCCACTGAACTATGGCAAGCTGTGCCCTGGGAGCTCCCCATGCTCCAAAGCACGGGGGCCACACCTGCACTTGGATTATATGTGCCCCCATATGCTCCAGCACTGGCACTCTCATTTCCACCCAGCATCCCCTCACCTCCATCCTCCCCAGCTCCCCTTGCTCACATGCACAGATGCGTTTGTGCAGAAGGGGATTTAATTCTCATTTGCAGTAACTTTGCAGGCTACAGCCACCATTTCCCCATCTGAGAAGGCTGCAGGGAACAAGGGCAGGGAAATGCCAGGTTGCTCAGCCCCTCCTCATCTCCGTGGGCAACAGGAGCAAAGCTGCTGACTGTAGCTTAGGTTTTCATCTGGGCCCCAAAACAAGCTTCATCCTCTGATGGCAGCAGGCACCTGGCACAGCCTGGGCTCAGCTCCCCTGGCCCAGCCACCCCAGCCCCCCATCAGCTCCCATACACACCCCTCACCTGCACATCCTGGTGAATCAGCTCTCTGCAGGGTGTTGCCACTGAAACAGGAACACGGGGCTGGTGCCTGACACCACAGAGATGGGCACCACACCAGGTCCTCCTGAAGGCTCTGAACCCCCTTCTTCCCACAGATATTGGAGCACTTTTTGCTCCTACCCAGCAGAACCCAAAGAGACCCCATAAAACTTGCAGTCTAGTAGGATGCTCTTGGGAGCACCTGACAACATCACTCCCACCAAAAATAACATCAGTCCCAGGTGCCATGGAGAGACGAGCCCCTAAAATATCCCTGCAGGGTAAATCCCCACCCTGCTTTGCAGGGAGCCCTCAGGATGTCCCCAGGGCAGTCCTAGCTCCCACAGCAGAGCCCCCAGCGCTGCCTTACTGCCTGCAGTGCCTCAGTCGGACTCTGCCCAGACTGGGCCACGCTCCGCCCCGACACCCTGCGCCACCCCGGCATCCCGTGCTGCCTCGGGCCTGCCTTCCACCCTGGCAGCAGCTCCTGCATGGCCCAGACCCCGGGCACAAGGCCCCACAGCCTCCCCACACGGACAAAGGGATCTGGCCCCTCTCCCATTGTGGGCACAATGCCATAATTCACAGCTTGTGCCTGTACCCACACCCCTAAAGCTCACTCTGCCCCGCAACAGCTCTGCACCTGCATGGTGCAGCCCTGTCCCTGCTCGCCGCAAATGCAGGGAGACAAGTTTAATGCCACAGGGCTGCTCCAGTCTCTGTGGAGGACACGACGTTGGAGGGGTTGAGCCACCTGCAGCAAGGACATGCTGTCTCTGTGACACTCCAAGATGAAACACGATGGGGAACGCTGCAGGGGCAGTGACCCACCGTCCTTTGGGATGGTGTGCAGCAGTCTCCCTGCTGCACAAGGACTGTCAGTGATGGCATCCAGCACAGACTAAGGTTCAGTGGTATTCAGGGCAGCTTTTATTCCCAGCAAGAGTCGCAGCTTCTCCAGCAGCTATGGGAAAACCCTCATTTCCAAAGTGCATCTGCAAAGCTGGGGATCAGAACCCCACCCAAGGCAGAAATACCCACCATGGCCCCTGAGCTAGCAGTGGCACCTTCATGGGGAATGCAGGAGCTGTGGTGTCACCAGGTGAAGCCCAAACAGGCAGTGGCTCTGGCAGGGATGGTGAAATCCATCCCAGGAGAAGGCTCTGCAGCACAGGAGCCAAACCCCAGCAGTGCTCCAACAGGAACGTGGCAGGCCGATGCCTACTCTCAGCCTGGCTGCTCCTATCAGCTGCTGAAAAGCACACTCAGGCAAACAAGTGCTTCCCATGCACTCCAAGTGTTCCAGATAAGTGACTTACCAAAAACAAGACACAGTATTTATAGCCTGGGCCTGGTGTTGCTCACCAGGATGTGAACAGGTCACACTAGTCTTCAACAGAGCAGTGCAGAACTGGGCACTGCAGGTCATGATACTCCTGCCTGCTTCCCGTCCGGACTTTTGGATACCTTCCCAACCAGATACAAGCACACACCACAGCCAAGGCTGCTTCATCAAGAGCTGGAGCAGCAGACCAGGAAAAGGAATGCAGTTGAAGGCCGAACAAAGCGCAGATGGGCTGGCAAAGGGATGATGTTCCAAGTTCTGGCAGAGTGGAAAATGAGATAACCTCCGAGCAGGATGTTGGTCAAACCACATTCAGCCAGATCAGGACAGAGGTGTGTGCCCAGATTCCTGGTTTCAAAAATTCTGGCCTGGGACTGGCACTTCAGCCTACACTGAAGCACCTCTCACTCAGTCAGGCCCTTGCAGCTCCCACTGATTAACATGCCCTAAATAAACTGCACTCTGTGCCACCTCTGTGGCTATATACAGACCAGTGGCAAACTGCAGGCACCTACACTTAAAACCTGCAGCTCAACAAGCATATTTCTTGCCGGGGGGCTGGTGTGGGCTGAGCACCTCACACTACACAGAAATTAGGAGGACACAGGAATTGTTGGGAGAAGCAAAGTTCCAGGTAAGTTTGTTTCAGTTAGGTGCAGGTGAGCAGGTGAGTGTTCTGGAGCAAAGATGAGGGTGGAGGCACATGAGAGGGGGTCATGTGCCCAGAAACAGGAGGCTCTGCACATGTCCCAGCTGACATCCAGCATCATCCAGACCTAGTTCTGAACCCCAGGGGCTGGAGGGGAGAGGAGGCTTTGCTGCCCTCAGTGTCAGTCAAGAAGTCCTTGTGCCTTTGGCTACCCTTCATTTCAACAAGTGGCTCAGCTGATCCTGAAGGTTTGATGACCGCTCGACGCTGGGGATCAAGCAAGAAGAGAGTCACAGTGAGATATGCTCCCCAGACTGTGCTGTGCTGCCCATGCCCAAGGCACCAGAGCAGCTCTAGTGCTGACACTAGAGCGATGTGAAACCCTGGGGTTCCCCAACCCCCCTCAGTGTCCCCACAAGGCAAACCTCACTGTCTGCACAGCTCTGCTCTGCACCACCCTCATCTCCTACCAGCAGCAACCTCACAGACTCCATCATGTCAACGATACGAAAGGAAGTTTTGGCACAAATCCGATCTCTTCACTCACATTCCCATCTCTTCACAATACTGAAAGTCTATCTGGCTGGGCCAGCATCTGCTTCAAAGGCAGCTGCAAAACTCTGTTTTCCCTCATCCCACTCCATCAGTTTTCCCTTCCCACCCTGACACGTGTTCCTCAGGGCCTCCTGGTACTCACTTCTTCTGAATTGCTTCCTGCCTAGAACAGAAAAGGAGAGACAAAAAGGGCATTATAAAAAACAGATCTCAGTCACAATGTTATGTCATGTTGAAGAAAAGGCACTTGATCAAGGGCTCAGGAGGCCCAAACCCTGATGTGTTTCTGGATTAAGTCCTGAGGGACAGCAGCAACACTGCCTTCTCCCCCTTAGCCCCAGAGGAATCACACACACTCATGGGAGACACAGTGCATGGCAAACAGGAGGCAGAAATCTCAGCTCCCACCCCAAAACAACCTGAGCTGCACCAGCAGAGCTGAAGAGGGCTGGAAAATCCCAGCTCCAGGGTCTGCTCAGCTTTGAAGAGCCCAAAAAGTGGGATCAGTCTGAGTGGGCTTCATGCAAAGTCTTTCAGAACAGAAAAGGACTGAGGAACCCACTCAGCTGCCAAGAGAGAACATGGTGTCTCCACTTACTGGTACTGTAGATGAGTGGTTATTATGGACATTTTTCTTAAGCTCTGTGGAGAAAAAAAACACAGAATGAATGTCTGCAGAATCACAGTGCAAGCTATCCCAGTGCCCCGGGCATTTCCCCCAGCACAGCCACTACGGTATCACCGAATTGCCTCCAAAACACTCCCACTGGTATCTGCCAGCAGTGGCACACCTCCTTCTTCTTTCTCAACGACAGGCACAGACACCAAGTGCTTTGTTTCAGCCCACGGTCCCCCGAATTTTCCATCGGAGAGGACGCAGCTGGAGGGCTGGCCAGGCTGCAGGACACCGGGTGGCCAGTGGCACACGTGGGTTTGAGGAAGCACTTATTATACCAGCCACCAGCCCCACTGCCCGAACTCGTGTATTTCAGCTCAGGGCTTCCCTAGCACACCCGCAAGCTGATTTTATCACCCTCCTCTCCTCCTGCCCCTAGAAACACCACAGAAACGCAGCTTACGTCTTCCGAGTGCAGGATGGCATCTTCTTGCATCACCATGTTTCTAGCAGCTTGACCCAGCAGCTAAAAGACAAAGGCACAGACCAGGCTGAGAGGCTGCAGCTCCGCGTTTCCCGCTGTGACAGCTGCTCGGCAGGATGACACCGTGGGTAACACCACGGCGACACTGCGGGGCCGTGCCCACCCCTCGGGCAGAGCCTGGGGGTCCGACCGCCCG